GAGTCACTATCGATGTGTATGGCCTGGCGTTGTCCTGATGGAACACAATTCCTCTCTTATTGGCCAAAGCTGGTCGCTTCTGGGCGATTGCTTCCTTCAGACGGTCCAATTGTTGACAGTACAGTTCCGAGTTAAGAGTTTTGCCGTAGGGGAGCAGCTCATAGTAGATAATTCCCTGCCAATCTCACCAAACACACAGCAAAACCTTCCTGGCCGTCAATCCTGGCTCGGCCACCGTTTCCGCCGACTCACCGCGATTCGACCATGACCGTTTTCGCTTGACGTTGTCGTAAGTGATCCACTTTTCATCACCAGTGACCAACCGCTTCAGAAATGGGTCGATTTTGTTGCGATTCAGCAGCGATTCGCAGATGGAAATTCGGTCCATGAGGTTTTTTTTCGTTAACTCGTGTGGCACCCATACATCGAGCTTCTTTTTGTATCCAGCCTTATTCAAATGGTTCCAAACGGTTTTTTGTGAAATCTTTAGCTCTTGGGCAATCGAAACAGTGCTTACATGACGGTCGGACTCAACAATGTCCATGATTTTATCGATATTTTCGACAATTGGCCTTCCAGTGCGTGGTGCATCTTTGACATCGAAATTACCGGAACGGAATCGACGAAACCAAAATTGCGCGTGATTGGCTGTTACAGTATCAGGACCGTAAACACTATTCACATTTTCAGCCGCCTGGCTTGCGTTTTCGCCTTTATCGAAGAAAAACTGTAAAATATAGCGTATTTTCTCTTTGCAAGCGCCATCTTTGACGCGCGCTCAAACAAAACTGAGTCAACTAATCACAAAACTGTCAGAAAATTTTTTTTAGTACGAAATCTCATCTTTCTAACGCCATCTAGTGGAACCCGATCGGACTTATACAACGCGAGATACAGATAACTAAAGCCATCTATTGGAAAAATAATGAATTTCTTTTTACTACACCTGATATATAATTAGTATTCATTGCATGCATTTTTTAATTAATACATCTGTATGTATGTTTATGTGTATGTATGAGGGTAGTCCCAGAAGTATCTGACCTGACGTATAGATGGCGGTTGTTGTTTGAAAAGGATAACTACGGTAGAAAGTATCAACCTTAAAAGCTTAAATTTGAAGTTTGACGACGCTACGTCAAACGCTACGTTGTTTGGTATTTGTTTGGCAGCCATCAATAGTGAACGCTCTCAGTAAATTTATAAACATGGAAGAAAATGGTCATTGTTATGTAATACAATACTTTCACTTGAAAGGTCTCAATCCAACCAATATCAAAGCGGAGCTAGATTCTACTCTGGGGGAGTTTGCTCATTCGTTTACAACAGTAAAATATTGGGTGGCAGAGTTTAAACGAGGCCGTACGAGCTGCCAAGACGAACATCGCAATAGTCGACCAAATGAGGTGACCACGTCAGAAATGGTGAAGAAAATCCACAAAATGGTGTTGAATGACCGTCGACTGAAAGTGCGTGACTTAGCAGACATGGTATGCATTTCAAGAAGTGCTGTACATCGCATATTGACTGCAAATTTGGACATAAGGAAGCTGTGCGCAAGATGGGTGCCGCGATTGGAACAAAAACTGCGTCGTGAGGATATTTCAATCGAGTGTTTGGCCAAGTTTCGCAGCAATAAAGCCGAGTTTTTGCGTCGGTTCATAACCATGGATGAAACATGGGTCCATCATTTCACACCTGAGACGAAGGAACAGCCAAGACAATAGACCAAGGTAGCTTGATGGCTATTTTGAGGAACTCGACGATTCTCACTATAAACAGGGTATCGAAGCTATTGAACATTGCTGGGAAAAGTGTATTGAGCTAAAAGGAGACTATGTAGAGAAATAAAGATATTTTTCCCAAATTTTTTGTTTTCTTTGTTAGATCAGGTACTTCTGGAACTTTTTTTTTTGGTCACGCAGAGGAAATCCTCATGGATACCTCCGCCGGTTGGGGAGGGCTGGGGTTATGTCGGACTTCTACCGAGTAAAACCCCTACCGAGTGCCTACCGCTCGGACCGTGGTGGGGGGACACAGGGGAACTACGCCTGTATTCCCTCCTCGACGTCTGGGACTACCCTCGTATATACAGGGTGTTATAAAAGTCCGGGAAGAGCAGAATAACTCGAAAAATATGAGTCCTAGAAAAAATGCGAAGTATTGGGTTCTTATGATTTTTTCCTGGCTATCTGATAATGACTTTAGATTTGACCTTGATAATGACCTTGAAAGTCATTTCAAGGTCAGGTCAATTTTTTTAATGGGACCCCATACTTTTGACTCCAGAAATGAAAAGGGCGGAAAATTTTACGTTCGGATATGACCTTGAACACTGCCAAATTTGACCTCTGAAGGTCACATAAAGGTCTAAGCTTGTTTTAGGCTGAAAACGCGAATATCTTCGGAAATGCACCTGCTAGGGAGCAATGTTACACATAAGAATAAGAATGTAGAGGTCAACGAGGGACAGTCAGCCGTGACCTTGCCCTTATTCTCAAGGTCATGAGTTAAGATTACTATTAAAGTCAAACCGGACTTTTCTAGGACTGAAAATCCATACTTTTGACCTAAAAGTGTCAAGATTGAAAAATTTTACGTTCGGATATGACGTTTTCACGGATATGACCTTGACCTTGTTCTCAAAATTATGCGTTTTACGTTACTTCACTGATTGTGAAGTCTACTGAAAGTAAAGCGTCTCGGTACCCGACCACTGAAGGCAAGGTGTTTCAAACCTGACCACTGAAGGCAAGGTGTCTCAAACCCGGCCACTTAAGGCAAGGTGTCTCAAACCCGATCACTGAAGGCAATGTGTCTCAAACCCGACCACTGAAGGCAAGGTGTCTCAAACCCGACCATTGAAGGCAAGGTGTCTCAAACCCGGCCACTGAAGGCAAGGTATCTCAAACCCGACCACTGAGGGCAAGCTGTCTCAAACTCGACCATTGAAGGCAAGGTTCAGTTAGTCCCGGCCACCGAAGGCAAAGCATCTTGTAACTCGGCCTGAGATTACAAGAGATGTTCAAAATGTTCCCCATTGACCATTTGACAGTGTGCTAAGCGGACGTACAAATTGTCAGTCGCACTCCTTATCATTTCTGGAGGTATTGCAGCACATTCGTCTATGATCCGTTGTTAAAGCTCATCCAGTTTACGAGGTTTAGTGAAATAAACTTTATTTTTTATGTAGCCTCAAAGAAAGAAATCAAGTGGTGCAATGTCGGGCGATCTCGGTGGCCATTCTATTGTTCCTTTTCTACCTATCCATCGATTAGGGAAAGTATCGTTTAAATAGTTCCGAACAATGCGTCCATAATGTGGCGGTGCCCCATCTTGCTGGAACCAAACATTATCGAAATTATCACCAACGCTCTTCTGTATTGATGGAACAATTTGGTCTGTTAGAAGCTGCAGATAGGTTTCTGAGTTCAAATTCCCATTTATAAAAAAGGCCCAACCACTTGATTATCATAAAGACCTGCCCAAACATTCAATTTTTGAGGTCACTGCGTATGTGCTTCAAGCATCCAATGAGGATTTTCGTTGTCTCAATATTTAAAATTATGACGGTTTACCTTACCAGTAATTTCAAAAGACGCTTCGTCTGAAAAAAACGATATTATGCAAAAAGTTCGCTTGCTGATCAATTCTTTGCATCATAACTTCTGAAAATTGCACCCTGCGGTCAAAATCGTCCTCATTCAACTCATGGTGGAGATGAATTTGTAGGGGTGGAACTTAATGGTCTTTAGATTTTTGGAAATTGACAATACACTCATTTGAAGCTGTTGAGATGCTCTTCTAATTGACAATCTGGGATTTTCAACAAATGATTGGGCTACTTCAAATTGTCGTTCTTCTGTCGTTTGGGACCTTGGCCTCCCAGAATTTTGACGGTTTTTATTACTCCCAGTTTTTACAAGTCGTCTGATGGTGCGAGATACAGTCGATATTGAAATACCTTCGCCTTCATTACGAAAGTTTTCATTGAACAGCAATCTCACTTCACTGTATGACCTTTGTCTATCCCCCCATCCTCTCATCATCAATAGCGAAACTCTCTCATGCTCTCTCTGTAAGAGAAGCCATTTGGAATTGAAAACAAAAAATTTGCAAAAAATTGGTATAAAAAATTCGGTTTCTTTACCTTTAAATAAAAATAATAAGTAATGTACTATTGATCGTTAATAATAATATGATAATAATTCAAAACAGACTAGAATGATATCAAAACTTGTTAAATCGATGAAAACTCAAAAACAATCTATTATCTGTTTGACACTGATAGAATCGAGACAAATAAAAACCTTGAAACATACACTTCATCGATGGCGAATAAATTTTTCGGATACCGATTCTGGGATTTTTGAGCTCGCTAAAACCGAATCCGACGTCGGATTTTGCAAATTCAAGATGGCCGATTCAAGATAGCGGCCGATATTGAGGAATTACCAACAATCGGAGTGTAACCTCGTACGTAACGTAAAATCTCATTCTTCACATTATGGGGGAGGGGTAAAAGTATGTGTTTCCATCCTAAAAAAATTAATTGACCTTGATATGACTGACACATAACCTTAAGAACAAGGCCAAGGTTCAAAACGTCATATCCGAACGTAAAATTTTTCAATCTTGATACTTTTAGGTCAAAAGTATGGATTTTCTGTCCTAAAAAGTCCGGTTTAACCTTAATAATAATCTTAACACTAGTCCTATGTTTACGATCGTGACCGTTGTCTCTGTTTGGGTCTATATGACCCGCATACAAATTTTCATTCAAAAGCGACTTTTTACCTGAATTTCAAGAGTTATCGATGTACACAAGTAGAACGAGATAATTAAACGCAAAAAACATATTTGTTTGTTGTTTGTTATTTATTTATAAACATTTTGCATGAAACAAAAATTATATGAGAATATAAGATCGCTGAAAAATAGAGTTTCTGTGAGTGAGTTCACTCCAAACAATTTTTGCAGAACAAATCGGAATGAATTTTTTAAATCGTTTTCTTGCAGATTGTGCAACTCTCTGCATGTTTGTTGTCATTTTTGCACATATAGCATCTTTTACGTTTTGGAGCCGAAATGTTGTCTGAAGCGGATATGGACGGCTCACCCAGCGTCCATTTACATATATCTTTTATCAAATTGGCAGGATTTTCACACCTTGGCATTTTCTTCCGACGCATGATCTCTGGTTCCACCAATTTCATACCCAAATCTTTCAGGAACTCACGACGCTTGTATTTCTTACCGGCATGTACCCAATTTGCGTTGCATTCTTTGTATAAAACGATAATAGCGCTCAAGACTGCCATCGGCCAACGGTTGGTTTTACGTTTGCACGTGTAAGAGCCGATCATTTGATCTAAAAGATCAACACCAGCCTTTGTATCGTTGTAAAATTGAATAATTTCGAGCTTGTTTTTCTTCTCTGCAATACAAGTTGTGTCATGGTGCTTGGTGCTCATAAGAACAACGCAACGATTTTTCTTCGGCACATACGATGTGATGGTCACATCTGGATTTTCAGCGAACGCAAACAGAGACGTCTCCACCATACGATGCTTGACATTGACAATATGGTATGGCAAGAATATTTTATTTTTGCGAACGGTGTCGACCATCGTCATTTTATGATTTCTCAAAAGATCCACTGCCAACTCATAGCTCGTGAAAAAATTGTCACAAGTTATATTGTGGCCACTCGATAAACATGAAATTAGCTGCAAAACCACTCGTTTTCCTTGATTCACTTCTCGTTGCTCATTCGGTGCTCGCCCAGTATAAATATCAGTGTTGCAGCAATATTTTATTTCGCTGTCGCATAATACAAACATTTTTATTCCATATTTTTCCGGTTTGTTGGGAATATATTGACGAAATGGGCAGTGGCCTTTGAATTTGATAAGCTGTTCGTCAATTGTAACGTTTTGATGCGGATTATAATTTCGATGCAAAGCAGAATTCCAGAGTGTGTAAACCTCGCGAATCGGCGAAAGTTTGTCGCGATGATTACGATCGTCACGAGTATCGAATCGCAAAACTCTTGTTATGTTTTGAAACTTTTGCTTGCTGAAAATAGCACGATATTCCGCTCGATTGGTCGATGCAAACAGTTCGTCGGTGCTCTGGCAATATGCATTGTAGACTCCAGCCAATATCAAAATACCAAAGTAAGCATCGAGCGTAATGTCGTCGATATCGATCCATTCGTCTTTGTATACTTTTCTCCCTTCTTTGTTTGTATAATCAACAATGATTCGCATAATGTTAGCAGTCATAAACAATCGAAACGCTATAACCGGATCGTCAGTTACACGACTGCTGGCATATGTTGTTGCACCAGGCTTCAATCGCAAAATTGTTTCGACACGATGTTTCGATCGAGTGGCCGGCGGATTTGCACTCCACTGCAATGTACCGTCTCGCGATGCAAATGTGTTGTTGGCTGGCGAATCTTCTTCTTCATCAGCAGTCTCGCCGGATTCTATACTGTAGTCGTCTCTTTCGTCAATTGACTCATGATCGACTTCGCCATCGCTCACTTGGTCGATAACTTCGTCATCTTCCGAATTATCATTTGGATCGACATACATCATGTGAACATCCATGCTCGCCAATCGCGTCGACTTCAACACAGAATAGAATACAAGTAAATAAATAACAAGTAACAAACATTCACATTTATACAAAATAAAACCAGCACATTTACTTACTCGTCGAGTCATTTTGTACGTTACAAATTGTAGGATGAGGAAAGAAATTGCAGTTCGATGCACTCTAGATCACTTGATGTACTACTACACGAGATCGATGCCGCTCGCAATCGCGGGACTCTTCGTTGAGTACAACTAGTGACTTGCAATGTCCAACTAGTATACCTTATTTACGTTTTTTCTAAGGTCATAAAGTACGTCATTCCTTAGGTACAATTGTACGAACTACAGTCGACCCATATACAAATTGAAACGAAACTCGAAAATAACAATAAGATATTTATAGATGTGTCAATATGTCAATATGTCAAAGCAGCTAATGTTATGTTCACTTCGGTGTTGAAATGAATGTTATGGCATATTCACGTATGAAATGTTGAATTTACGCGCGCGAAAGCAAAATGTATGAAAAATGTATGGGTGGGTCAATATGACCCAAAACAGAGACAACGGTGTACGTGCTGGCGTTTGGCACATATGTGAGATTTTATTTTCTTTTTTCACGTATATGAATAAGGTCAAAATTCGTACACATACCTAAAATATTGAATCACATAAGTGAATACAACGCCTTTAATTGCGTTTTATCTGCGCGTTTCGGGTCATATAGACCCAAGCAGAGGACTAGTGTTAACTCATGACCTTGAGAATAAGGGCAAGGTCACGGCTGAATGTCCCTCGTTGATCTCTACATTCTTATTCTTATGCGTAACATTGCTCCCTAGCAGGTGCATTTCTGAAGATATTCGCGTTTCCAGCCTAAAACAAGCTTAGACATTTAGGTGACTTTCAGAGGTCAAATTTGGCAGTGTTCAAGGTCATATCCGAACGTAAAATTTTCTTTTCATTTCTGGAGTCAAAAGTATGGAGTCCCATTTTAAAAAATTGACCTGACCTTGAAATAACCTTGAAATAACCTCAAGGTTATTGTCAAGGTCAAATCCAAGATCACCGTTAGATAGCCAGGAAGAAATCATAAAAATCCAATATTTTGCATTTTTCTGGGACTCATATTTTTCGAGTTATTCTGCTCTTCCGGGACTTTTGTAACACCCTGTATTACGGAAGAATAGGAAGATAAATTCATTATACAAATAACCTTTTCTATGTTTTATAAAGTAGAATTCTCGCATTATAATTCTTATATATTATATTTTCATATATTATGTTATATACTTCAATATCTATATATTACGTGTCTTTATATAACATTACATATACAGATTGTCCTATGAAAAGGTGTTGAAACTAATCAGCTGTCATTTTCAAATGGATGCAGTTATTGTAAAAACAAAAATTGCGTTGAAGAGAGGAGAGTTTGCAGTTTGTAATGGGTATAAATAAAATTTAATTAAATGTTTGTGCATAAATTTATTTTATTAATGAAAAATATGCTAATAATTGAATAAGCTAATGATAAATATTTTCGAAGTGCACACCAAACGAATTTGTACAAAACTCAATTCTTTTACGAAAACTCATAAAAACTTTTTCTAATAAGTCGTCTTTAATGTTACTGACGACTTTTTCTTCTACAGCAACAGGCACGGAAGGACTTGGCAGATCGTGTCTACGGTCTTGGATAGTTCCATACTGCATTAAATTATCGATAATTTTATTAAAAATAACACAAAACATTATTTTAATGCAGATTTATTGTCGAAAATGGAGTAACCTAACGCATAAATTTTAATAAGTAATGAATTTTAACCTTTTCAGTATGGTTTCGCTCTTAACTTCATGTATTCCGTACTTAGTACGAAACCCCCTATAAGCACTGCTATATACTTTTCCTCTGGAAAAGAAGCACGCGATAAGATAGACCTTTTCTTCCGTCGTCAGATTATTCATTTTGACGCGCATGTACTTGCTTCTACCACAGCCAAAATAAAACTGCGGACCCTCAGATGGACGACCGTTAACTGTAATGGCAGTTCTGAAGTCATGGAGGGGAGAACCAATCGTGTAGTTTCAATACCATCCCGTGAGACACCCTGTATATATTAAAAATCAAACATTCATTTTTACTCGCTATATCCCATGATTTACATTGGTCATCCCACTGTGCGGCGGAGGATCAATCGTAAGTATGCTGCGAATAACAGAAAGCATTCAAACAAATTAGGCTGGAGCAACACAAAATACACATAGCATTAATGATGGCGAACGATCGCGTCAATCGACGACGGTTGAAAACTCTGGGCACCATGTACATTACCGTACGATCGCGGACATAGTAATAAGTACCCGTTTTTTTGCAACTTTCGGAACGCATCCCGACTCAAGAGGAATGAGAGTCACTGCTCCGCCTGCGGAACACGCCTACGCAGTGACTCACAACGAAAGGCGAGAAATGAAATATACGCGGTGAGATATTATAATATTTCATATGACATATTATAATAATGCAGCCTCAGATGAAATGAATACTCCAGCATTAAATGGAAATGAGGGAACATAGAACAGACAAGAATCATCTGGTGTAAGTCTTTTACTCCGGGGGACATTCGAAAAAGGTAAAGATAAATAAACATGTTTATATTTTTAAAACAATACGAACTTAATTAAGAGAATTAAGCTGCATTACGATAGTTACGATTCTGTTATACATTTATATATTAGGTTGTGGAAAAAGAAATCCATTATTTTTCCGCCAGATGGCTTTAGTGGTATATATCACGTGATGTATTAATCGCATAGGTTAATATTTATACTCGTTGGAAAAGTGACATTCCGTACTAAAAAGATTCTTTAACGGTTTTGTGATTTGTCGATTAAGTTGTGAGTTATAGCACGTAAAAGATGTACGTCAACAAGGAGAAAATTCGATATATTTTACAATTTTGCTTCGATAAAGGCGAAAATGCAAGCCAGGCGGCTGAAATGGTGAATGGTGTTTATGGTCCCGATACTGTCACAGACAATCACACGCAATTTTGATTTCGTCGATTCCGTTCCGGTAATTTTGATGTTAAAGATGCATCTCGCACAGGTAGGCCCGTTGTCGAAAGTGTCAATAAAATTATGGAAATGATCGAAGTAGACCGGCATGTTAGCAGTCGTAGTATCGCCCAGGAGTTGAAGATTGACCACAAAATAGTTTTAAACCATTTGCATAAAGCTGGAATCAAAAAAGCTCGATGTTTGGGTGCCACACGAATTGACGCAAAAAACATGATGGACCGAATTTCAATCTGCGAAGCCTTGACCAAACGGAACGAAATCGAGTCATTTCTGAAACGGATGGTGACTGGTAATGAGAAATGGATTACATATGACAATATTGTGCGAAAACGATCGTGGTCAAAACGCAGCGAAACGGCTCAAACGGTGGCCAAACCAGGATTAACGGCCAGGAAGGTTTTGCTAAGTGTTTGGTGGGACTATAAAGGAATCATCTATCATGAGCTGCTTTCATATGGCCAAACACTAAATTCGGACCTCTATTGTCAACAATTGGATCGTTTGAAGCTAGCGATCGACCAGAAGCGGCCAGAATTGATCAATAGGAGAGGAATTGTTTTTCATCAGGACAATGCCAGGCCACATACGTCTATAGTGACTCGTCAGAAACTCCGGGAACTTGGTTGGGAAGTTTTGATGCATCCACCTTATAGTCCGGACCTGGCACCAAGCAATTACCATATGTTTTTGTCATGGCAAAACTTCCTTGATGGTAAGAAATTGACCTCAAGAGAAGACTGTGAAAATAGCTTAGTCGAGTTTTTTGCAAATAAGGACCAGGGCTTCTATGAAAGAGGGATTATGAAATTACTTTTAAAATGGCGACAAATTGTAGAACAAAACGGTGCTTATTTGACCAAAATCGAACAATCCTAACTATATTAAATAAAGCTTTGAAATAAACGAGAAAATAATGGATTTATTTTTCCCCAACCTAATATATTAATACATATAAATACATAATACATAATACATAATAATAGTACATATTAGGTATACAACTTTGCTTCCGCCGTTTTTCTTCCGAAATTCGAAGCTTCGTTGTTAAAAACTGGTTATACATTTCTGGTTCAAAGTATTGTTCATCGCTGGCCACTACTTTCTCCCATTTGTCAGGCAGCGTACAAATCCCGCGTTGAAAAAACTGGTCATCTTTTGAAGCGATCCACGAATCGATCCAATTTCTTACTTCTTCATAAGACGAGAAGTGCTGGTCAACCAGGCCGTGTGCCATTGATCGAAGCAAGTGATAGTCAGAGGGAGCAACGTCTGGAGAATACGGTGGGTGGGATAGGACTTCCCATTTCAATGTTTCCAAGTATGTCTTGACCACTTTCGCAACATGGGGTCGAGTATTGCCATGCTGCAAAATCACTTTATCGTGTCTCTCATTGTATTGCGGCCGATTGTCTTTCAATGCTCGGCTCAAACGCATTAATTGCGTTCGATAACGATCGCCTTTGATTATTTCAGTCGGTTTTAACAGCTCATAATACACTACGCCGGGCTGGTCCCACCAAATACAGAGCATGACCTTGGAGACGTGAATATTCGGTTTGGCCGTCGACGTGGAAGCATGGCTGGGATATGCCTATGATTTTCGGCGCTTGGGGTTATCGTAATGAACCCATTTTTTGTCCCCAGTCACAATGCAATTCAGAAATCCCTTCCCGTCTTTGCCTTTCAAGCAATTGTTCACAAGCAAACAAACGCCGTTCAACATCTTTCAGTTTCAACTCGTACGGCACCCAATTTCCTTGCTTCTGAATCATTCCCATGTCTTTGACGCGTTTTGAAATTGCTTGTTAAGTCACTCCCAATGATCGTGCCAATTCTTCTTGACTTTGACACGAGTCTTCATTAAGTAACGCCTCCAATTTTGCATCTTCGAAAACCTTCTCTCTTCCACCGCTATGCCGGTCTTCGACGTG